TAATAGCCCATGGTAGGTTGGTATCTGTCCCCATTTTATTAATGAGAGCATGGAGGACAAGAGGAAGCCAACGTGGAGCTAAGAGCCTGGCTCCTTCAGCCCTGGAACGATATTTTCTACTGCAGCATGTGGGTTTATACTTTTCTTATTTTGAGAATGTCTCTTACTGCCAAGCCAGGCCAGGCTCCAAGTCATTTTATAGAAACACCCCCCACACACCCACTCATTCTCCATCCCACTCCCACCCCAGGCACACTTCTTGGACTTTTGGATATTTCATGCCAGGGGAGGTAGAGTGCCAGGCCTGTGGTCTGATAGAAAGGAATTCACATATTCCACCCAACAGATGCCAGCCCAGGAACAGGTCGAAGCCCTGGGTGGAAGTGATTGACATCTGAGGAGATAAAGTTGCAGGATGTCTGTAGTCATGTCAATGTATGGGGATGGGAGTCGGGGAGGACTGGAGAGGGTAGAGAGGAAATCAGATTGCCCACGAGTTGACAGTTGCTGAGGTTGGATGGGGGTTCATGGGAGCCCAATACACTGCTCCTTCTAACTGCTGTATTTGGAAAATCTTCACAATAAAAACTAAGATAACTCAGAGGGCACCCCCCACAACACCCCACCCTTTACCAGATTCTCTGGTTTCAGGCTTTGTCCTAGTTTAAAATGTCCTCTTGTAGGGCTAGAATCCTGCTTACACTCTATCCTCAGACTCAGTTTCCTCATTTGGAAAATGGGTAAAGATTCTACCAACCCCATGGCGGTGTTGTGAATGTTGGATAGGATGAAAGGTTGTTGGAAACCCACAGTCTGCTGACCCCGTCCCCTGACGATGGGCAGGACACGCATGTCATGTCATGCTACATCACTCATTATGGGGCTGCGTAGGGACTCAATTTCCCTTTTAAAGCAAACACACTCCTCTCTCTCTCTCTCTCTCTCACTTTTGGTTGACCACCAGATACCCCCCCCCTTCTCTCCTCTCCACCAATAAACTCCACTATGGACACCGAGTCTCGTGTTTGTGTTTCATAGGCGATAGCTGCAGCAAAAGAACAACAAAGGTAACATGTCGGCTGTAGTCTGTAACAAATGTGAGGTCACCACCCATAACAAGGGCACCATTTGACATCTCCACCAGAGGAACATGTGTTGAATAGATTTGAATAGAGAAGGCAGCTCTGGCTTTGCCTCAGTTTCTTTATGAAGATCAAAGACAAGTAGAGGCTCAAGAGGCCATGGTGGAAGCAGGTGTGGTGGTGCATGCCTTTAATCCTAGCACTCAGGAGGCAGAGTCAGATAGACCTATGTGAGTTTGCCGCCAGCCTGGTCTAAAAAGCGCATTTCAGTCAGCCAGGAGAAACCCTGTCTGGGGGGGGTGAGGGTGGGGGGGTTGGGGGGTGGTGTCTCCAGTGGGCTGTCTTCAGGCCTGTGAAACAGCCTCTCTAAGGACCCTGGGTCCATCTCTGTATCTAGACTGCCTGCTTCAGGCAGGAGATGCTTGCAAAGTGAAGAGTGGACTGGACAAGAGAGACCTGCTGAAGCTTTGAGAGAGGCAGTGGGAGCTTTTCAAGAATAGGTGGGTCCCGAGAGGCCTGTACCAGCCTTTGGAAATGCAGAAGTGTGTATGTTTGAGTGCGCACACAAACCACACACACACACACCTCTTGCAGAACTAAGCACACACACACACACACACACACACACACACACACACACACACACACACACACACACACACACCCCTCTTGCAGAACTAAGCACCTTGAAAGCAGGAGAGGCGAAGGCGGCTTGGAGTCTTGGAATGACCACCGGGCCTGAGGCCTTTGGACTGGCCTGGGTTCCTGGTATTTTCCTGGCTGTAAGGGATTCGCAGTGCCTCCTGGTGGACACACTGGCGGTGCAGGCTCCTGAGGCTGATCCCGCACTGGGCTCTCTCCGGAGCAGCAGGGAGAGGGCTTAGAAGCGGAAGGGGGGAGGGAGGGCGGGGGGTGGAGGGGAGTGACAGCTCCAGGATGCCGCCGCCAGGAGGGGCGTGTGTCTCTCCTGGGAGGCTCGAAGACTGGGCCCAACCCTCGACACTTACTGACACCCTGCACCCTACCTCTAACTGCGCAGGAGTGACTTGGCTACACCCCACATGTCGGGGAATCCTTCCTGTCCTTAACCCCCAGCCCTGAGGCCCTTGAATTTTGCTGCCTCTGCCTAACTTCTCCCGGAAGAGGGTCTCATTAAAGTTTTTAAGAGGTTTTATTTAGGTTAATAAACTGTCAAGAAGGAGCATGAAGGCCCGAACGTTCCAGTTGTCTTTTTGAAGGTTCCAGGCTTGAATTCCAGGGCTGAGGAATGTTTACATCTTCCCTTTCTGAACGGGTCCTGGCGGGAAAGGCATAGTGGTCCAAGGACCCCTGCCCAAATATGCGAGGCCATGGTGGGTGAAGCTTATGAGTACCAGTGTTAGCAGCCTGTGGCTGGTGCTGGTGAGAGCTTACTCAGCGGCCTGGTTTTCAGACACTATGCCACTGGCCCTGGGATGTGAGTGCTCTGGTGGCATTATCTCCCCAATCTGGTGGTGGTAGTGGGGTTTGTCCAAGTACCTGGGAATGGTGAGCGATACCGTGCTCAAGGGTTCTCAAGAAGCCCAGGCCAGCCTAACGTCTCTCCTCGGACCAGAGCTGCAGTAGGGTCATATTGTTCCTTCTCCTAGAGCCAGCTCCGGTGCCAGGGTCTCAGGCCGCCAGGCTGCACCCTCCAGGGAAGCAGCAAGGAGGTCAGAGAGTCTTCACTGTCTGGTCCTGTGGCCTTCTGGAGGTGGCCGGGTTCGCTCTGCGTGCCACCCGGGAAAAGGTCCCGGCCATTAGACTGGTGTCGAGGAGGATGGAAAAATCTTAAAAGCCACAAAGTCCTGTGCAAATGGCACCCGGGCCCGGGTGGCTGTTCCACGCAAAGCCTAAAATGGAGGGTAGATTCTATGTGTGCCCATGGGGCGACAGACAGAGCTGATGCCGAGGGAAGCCAGAAGTTCTGGGACCCCCGAAAGGGCGTGTGCTCTGGGCGACTTTCTCGTCCCAGGATCCCACTGAGCGAAGGGCGTCCTTGACCCAGCGCTCCAGTTTTAAGAACTACAGCTCCAGCCAGGGTCTCCTGGTTCTGCTGCGACTGGTGCATTCTCTAAGCCCGAGCTTCTGGCTGCGGGGTGGGGAAGCTCAATTTGGGGAGAAGAGAGAGCTCCGTGGGGATCCATAGCCGGATCCTGCCTGCAAGGATGCCCCCAAACAGCACAGATTTGCTTCGGCAGAGCAGGATCGCGAAAACCCTCGCCCCACGGAGTTTAAAAGTGGCTTCCGGCTTCCTAGCCAGGGAACGCATTCTTGCAACCCCGATTGGGCTAGGGCACCCACTGCGGAGGGACCAGGACAGGGAAAAGCAGCCTTTGCTCAGGCCTTTCACCTACCCCGACTCCGACAAGAGGAAGAGGTGGGGGTGGGGTGAGCAGGGTGTGAAGAGGTTTGGAGTAATTCGAGTTCAAAAAAAAAAAAAAAAAAAAAAATCACTTTGTTTCGGAGGGACAAGTAGGTCCTGCGTGCTGTCTCCAGGCTAGCAAATTCCTCCCTATCCCCGCTAGTTTATCTGGGCTGCCTGCCCCAGGACGGGGATGCTTGCTATATGAAGAGGGGAATGGACAGGCAGTCGCATGTCCCCCAGGGCTCCAGTCCGCCCGGCGAGTCTCAGCCTGCTCAGCTCTGCAAAAACGAAACTCAAATCCGCCCCCCCCCAAAGCCCTTAAAAGAGGACTTTAACGAGAAAACCAAAGCCTCTATTTTCCCTGCTTTCACTTTTCCCAAACCAGCTTAAATAAATCTAAATAAAAACAAAATGAGCAATCAGCCAAGGATATTATCTTTCCACACTGTTCCACACTGTGGAGTTTCTCTTCAAAAACATTTCCCCCCAATGCCAACCATTCAGATGGTCAGCCCTTCGGAAGCTCTAACCTATTCAAGAAAATCACAACAAAGCGGTAGGAAATTCAGCCACGATCCTGGGCAGAAGGTAGCAGGGAGGTCCCGGGAACCCACAGCGGCCGAAACCGCTTTAATAAAAGTATAAAAATTAAAAAAAAAAGATAATAAGAAGTAAAACCTTTTAATACATCAAATATACGGAATTTTAATCTTTAAAGCGATACATTGTCTATTATTTTAGCACATGACGTAAACCTTGTCCCCTTCTCAGCGGGTGGACTTAAAAATTAAAAATAGTTGTGTTCCTTCGAAGAACAAAATAAGGCAAATGAGGTTTTGGAATAGAATTATTTTCCTTTTTTTTCCTTCCAGAATACATACAAAAAAATACCCATTCTCTTTCGATGGTATACACCTTAAAAATAATTGCGATTGGAAATCAGAGTTGACAAATTGTGACTTATTTTGTTTCGTCTTTTTCTTTTTTGTAACAAACATGCATGGAAATTTGAGTTTCAATCAGACATTAAATAAGAACGCACAATACAATCATAGCAATTTTAAAGTAACATTAAAGAGAAGACCCTAGTTCTGTAGCGGTTTTGTCTTTTATTTATACTCTACAAGGGACGGGAGGGTTTGTTTTCCACATATTTACCCTCGAGTTTTAATTTTTTCCCCCTCCTTCTTTTAACCTACGGAGCTCAAACTAAATAATGCACTTTTGAACCACGGGTCCGCTTGGAGCTAACATAAATAAATACCAATGTTCACCGGCAAAGTCCTCAGATGAACACTTTCTCAATTATTTTTCCTTCTTTTTCTATAAAAAGTCAAATGATTTTTTTTCAACTTTTATAAAGTTTGGGTGGGGGAGCTAGGGGTGGAGGAGAAGGGTTCCCATCCAGGCTCACTGGCTGGCTGTTGTTAGCAGATAAGTAAGATTTCTTTTCCCTTCCGTAGCCGGCTCGAGGCTCGCGCAGGAGTCAATAACCTCGCCAGGCTCCTGCCCCTCCCTCGACTCCTCCCCTCCCCCCCCCCCCAGCTCTTTTCTCTCCCTCCGAATTCCTCGCGGCTACCCTCACTGATAACCCAACGCCGAGGCAGTGGTCAGTCTCTGTCCGTAGAGGGCGTAGGGGGAGTAGTAGGGTCCGGTGGCAGCGGGCACCGGCACGGGGGCACCGGGCGTGGGGAGTGGGCTCTTGGAATATGGGTGGTAACGGCTGCTGAGTCCCAGTGCATGGTGGGGGCTGCGCAGCGCCAGGGTCCCAGGACTGCCTGGTGCGCCCGATGTGGGGATGTGCATGTGACAAGCCATGGCTGCTGCGGCGGCGCTGGCGAGAGACGAAGAACTGGGGTAGCCCGATAGCAGTTTGTCTGTCCCAGGAAAGGCCGTATGGGTCCGCAAGTGGCTCAGCAGCTCTTCCGACGTGGCGAAGCGCTTGTCGCATGGCCCATTAGCTGACACCCAGTTGCAGATGTGGGGGAGCGGATCATTAGGGAGCATGAAACCATAGGGGTAGAGGGGGTGGCCAGCAAGGGAGGGTGGTGTGGCGCCCGCAGCGGCGGCAGCGGTCAGCGAGGAGTGCACACCGTGCAGTGGGTGTGTGGGGTACACCAGTGGGTATCCCGATTTGAGCGCTGCGGCTGCAGCTGCCGGATCGTGAGCGCACGAGGCGCTGGCAGCTGCAGCTCCGGCCAGGTGACTGGCGCAGTGGTAGCTGAGGCAGTATGGGTCCCGGCACAAACTGGCTGTCATCACAGACGGCGGCGACGCCCCGGCCAGGGGACTCGAACCGGCTGGCTTACTGCAGCCAAGAGAGCCGGCCGCGGCCGCCGCCAGCTGAGCCCCTACTAGGCTGCCAGGCTTGGTGGGGTCGAGAGCCACGCCATGTGGCAAGAACTGGGGCGGGTAGCCAGCATAGGCCCCAGCCAGGCTGCCTGGGTAGGTCATGCCCGCGGGGGGTAGAGGGAACACTGTCTGGCCGGGTTTGTAGGGAGACACGGGAGCCACCAGCCCAGAGCCTAACACCGACGACGAGGTGGGCACGCTGGGGCCTGAACCGGAGCTAGAGCCGGAAGAGCTGCCGCAGTCCGAACCTAGAGCCTTGCCCCCTGGACCCCCGTCCGTGTGCTGGTTCACATCCACGTTAATTCCACCGCCGCAGCTAATCCTCCCGTGTGTCAGCCCCGTAGGTACCCCGTCCGCCGAGGAGCCCCCGACGCCCTTGCTGCTGCCACCGCCGCCAGCTTCCGGATCTTTCTTGTCGTCCTTGCCCTCCGGGCCGCCCCCGGCGGAGGGCAGCATGCCTCCCGGCGAACAGGCCGAGGCGCTGGAGCTGGGACTGCCTGTTCTGGGCGTAAATGGCTGGCAGGTGGCGCTCGGTACCCGGAATCCTGACTTCTCCGCAGAAACACCCCCGCCGCCGCCGCCACCCCCGCCGCCTCCACCGCCGCCTCCCGGCTCCTTCTTATCTGAACCAGGCTTGGAGTAAGGCTTGAAACTCGACTTGTCTTCTACGCCGATGTCGCTCAGTTTCAGGGGGCCCGACTTGGCGTCCTTGTCGCCCCCGGCTCCGCTGCCTGCGCCACCCGCGCCGCCCCCGTTGGAGGCGACAGAGGAGAGTTTGGAAGAGGGCGAAGGGTCAGGCTTCCCTATCTGCGAACATGTTTGCGCCAGCAATGCCAGTGGGCTCTTCTTGGCATCCAGCTGTGGAGTCAGACGGGGAGGGGGGTCACACAGAGAAACAAGGGGAAAGCATTTAGTTAAAATCCTGGCTTCAGGGTCTAACACTTGCCCTAATAGCCCGCGAAAAGCATTTCAACTTCGAGGCGCAATTTTAAGTGGCACCCCACCCACAAAGATTCTCGTCCTTGGGAAAGATGCCAGACCCCTTGACTTCCCTACGATTCTTCCTGCATTCTTTCAGTACTACTTAGATTTGTTAACAATCTCTCGCAAATGTTTTGGTTTTCATCTCCTTAGATCCAGAACTGTACCACCACCCCCACCCCCTTTCCCGGCACACACTCCTTGATTCTAAAGCGTAAGGGCTTGAGCGGTTGGCGCCTCCGAGGCTGTGTAAATATACTAGCTTCTGGAGAGCTGAAGGAAGGCGACTTTGGAACAGTATCCAGGCCCTTGTCTGCCTAGGGCCTATGGGGGAGGGCTAGGTACATAGGGGCTTTAATACAAAAAGGACAAGTTTGGGTGGCTTTGCCGCTTAGAATTTATAACCCAATCCATGTCGTTGTCCTTTCTGACTAAGGGGTGAGGAAGCGCTGTCCTTTTCTTCTATCCTCGAGCTGAACCACTCCAACCGCCCCCCCCCCAGCCCCCGCGCCCCAGATCCCGGGGGAAAGAAACCCCACAGGAAGGCAGACCCGGTAGGGGTCCCAGCTTGACCCTGAGAGAAGGTCCTTACCTCGATGGGGCTGACGGGCGTGGAAGGCAGGGGCTGCAAATACTCTGGGTGCAAAATGTGACCAGTCCGTGCCGTCAGCATCTTCAGCACCTTGATGGGCAGGCGGTTAGCCTGGCGCAGGGGATCAGAAGGGGGCACGGTGTGCACAAAAGGCTTGGTGCTGCCGGCCAGGGACGAGCCTGGGCCGTGGCTGGAGCAATTTCCAGAGAGCGCGCTGGTCCAGGCAGGGTCCGCACTGCCACTACTGCCGCCGCCGCCGATGTGCTTACTGCTTCTTAGGGCAGAAAGCGAGGGCGCTGTGCTCATGACCCACCCGCGCGCATGGGAGCAGCGGGGGGGAGGGCTCCGGGACGCACGGGGCGGGCTCGGGGTTGCGCGCTCGCTCGGGGAGCGGGAGCAGCTAGAGGAGGAGCTGGCTCGGCGGACGCGGGTGCCTCGCACGCCTTCTTGGAGCCTGGAGCCAGAAGCGAATAATCCTGGGTGGTCCGCAGAGGAGCCGTGACGAGGCTGGAAGAGCCGGGTGGACTGCGGGGTGCCCCGCGGTGCACGTTGTCTGCCTTGGGCTGCGCCCTGCGTTACGCTCTCCCGGCCCAGAGCCGGCGCTGCGCTCAGCGATGTGAGCCGCTGCTTGTCCAGCCCGGGCTCTGGCGAGGAAACTCACTTCAAAAGCAGCTGCACCAAGGGGGAGATTAAAGCCTTTGCCGCCTTCCAATCAAATGGGAGCCTGAGGTGATTGGAGGGTCAAGGGGATGTGACGCGTCCCGCGCCGCCGCCGCCGCCGCCAGGACTCTCAGAGCTGGTTTTAATGGGTAGCTCCCTCTTTGCCGCCCCTGGGTTTGTCCCCTCCCTCTATTTCGCTACCCGGACGAGATGGACATTTATTCTACGTTTGCTGTCTACCGCCTTCCATCTTTTTCCTCCGCGTCGTTCTTGGTTTTCCCAGCAGGAAAACAAACTGAAATCTTTGGAGGAAGGGAGTACCTATGAGAGTTAACTGACTTCGGGCGAGTGTTGAGAAGAAGCACCAGCGGGAGTGTGAATACCAGCTGAACGGCCAACTCCAGGGATGCGTGGGAGCCTGCACACCAATTTTTTTTTTCAGTAATTGAGATCTCGTGTGGCGCGGCCACCCGGGCAAGGAAAGGCGGAGAGCCGATGTCGGAGAAAGTCTGCCCGCCCGCTTGTATTTCCTGAAGTTCCGCAACAGAGAAACCAAAAGCTGGAAGGGCAACGGAGGCGGTGGCTGCTTGTCCGGGCGACGTGCGCGGGGTTCTCCGCCTTTCTTGGTCACGTGACACCCGAGGACGCTCAGATTGGGGCGGGAGCGGGGGTCACATGTTTCCCGTGTTTCACACTCAGTCACCCCCCCAATTCTTGCTCTCCTTCGCTACCCTCTCCCCCCCCCCCCCGTTTCTCTGGGCATCTCCACCCCTCCATCAATTGTCAATGTGCCTCGACCGCAATCAATCAGTTATTTGTCAGCTCTTGTCAATCTGCCCGTGATTTATGTCAGCTTTTGTTGCTGATTACAAGGCGGGTGAGACTTGAAGGGAAAAAGAGATGGAGAGTGAGAGAGGAAGGAAGAGACCCAGAAGGAACTGGAGGAGGGGGATAGAGGAGCAGAGGAGTGTGTGTGTGTGTGTGTGTGTGTGTGTGTGTGTGTGTGTGTGTGTGTAGGGGTTGTAAGAAAAAGAATGAAAAGGGGAAGAGGCGCCCATCGTCAGGAAATGAAATAGTGAGTAAAGTGCGCAGGTGCACCCAGGACGCTGTGTCAGGCGCACCGGCCTGGGGTGTGCGCCTTTGCTTCTCTTGTTGGAGAGACAGACACGCCCTTCACGTGGGGTGCTTTAGTCAATCCGAACCGCAGAATTCGGGGATGCTTGGCACCTAAGAACGGCGGTGGAGACGGCGTCTAACACGGGAGGCTTCCCGCCTCTTTGGGATAATTCCTCCCGGGCATGTAATTTGAGGATGTCCGGCCATTGCCCTCGGTAGTGTCCCGACCCCCAACTCGGGAACTTCTTTCCAAAGAGCCACACCACCAATGTAGCCCTAGTACTGGAGGTTACTGGTGGGGTAGCCCTCTTTAATTCTGAGACCCCGGTTCGTAGCGAGGGTTGACCAGCTCCAGAGAAGAGGCCTGGCCTTGCTGAGAACACAGGCAAACAGGTTTCAGGCTCGCTCTGTTTCTCTCCCGGGTCCTTTGCCACCACCCCGACAGTCCTGGGAGCCAGTACTACCCGGGGCTGCTCGACTGAGTAAAGTGGACCGGCCAGACAGGACCAGTGCTGGGAGAGGAGAGGGAAGGAACGCGAGAGGGAGGGGCAGCTGCTTGTGGGAACCGGTTCTTCCAGGGAAGCGGAGCGGGACTGCAGCGTTCCCCTCGATTTGCGCCGTCACTCAGGCTGTTTGGAAAGAAGAGGGAGGCGCTGTGCGTGCCGCCTTGTACCTGGACCTGTGTGTATACACTCCTGTGCATCTGGGCGAATTCTCTGGACTTCCGTAACGTCTGGAGCCAGTTCGAGGGTCACCTCTAGAAACTCGTAGAAAGTAGAAGGGGGTGCGAAGAGGACACACCTCCTTCCTCGGAGGGACTAGGGAGACTTTGAATTCCCACCCCCTTTTCCGCAGAGCTCTTCTTTTGTTGTCAGGTCCTTTTGATAAATGGTGGGGCTAGAAGCCTTGGGAGCCGGGAGCCGTTCTGTGCTCTGTGCAGGGGCGGGGGCTGAGCCTGGAGACCCGTTTCCGACCATGGCGCACCCTGATCTGAACCCGGTACTTGCAGGGGTCTGGTTGGGGACTTCCCTTCGGCTTGCTAGCCCATTCCTCTCCCACCACCCCAGTCTCTTTTTCCTTTCTGCTTTTTGTCTCCAACTCCACGCGGGTAACGAGAACTTTCTGGTGTTGGGATGAGTTTTAGAATTTTCTCGTAGGCATTCTTTCACGCCGTTTTCATTTCATTCCTTGATTCCTTAGGTTGGAAAAGTTAATGAGCTGGTAACTCAATTAATGCTAATTTGGAGAGGAGAGGTGGTTTGTGCTTGGGGCTGGTGTGTGTGTGTGTGTGTGTGTGTGTGTGTGTTAAGAACACGCACTCAGGAAGGTTTGTGGTGCCCTGGCGACAATTGAGGAAGGTAAGTCTGTCTGTGAGACCTTGGCAAGATCACAGGCAGGGATGTGAAGGTTGCCTGAATAATCTCTATGGACAAAAGTTCCAGAGTACAGTTTTCCAGGGTGGCATTCCAAAACTCTCTGCTGGGCAATGTGTCTGAAGCCTTTTGTAGCCTGAGGGTGTTAGTGCCTGACTATATCACCTATTGTATGGCTGTGAAAGGTGTCACCGCTGGCCAACTACTATAGTCCCAGTGTAGCAAGCTGGGCCCTGGACTGTCTGCCATTTTGGCCTCTCCGATAGGCCTGGGCATGGAAAACTGGCTCTGCACTAAGGGTAGCTGGAGCGCAGGCCAGGGGCATCCTTAGTTTGTTCATTTGCCTCCAAAATACAGCAGATTTCTCACTGCACTGGGCAGTTCAAGGGAGGCCGCCCCGGAGCTTCAAGCCTGGTGGAATCGTGCAATGTCTCTTGCTCCAGAATGATTACACGCGCGCTCATGGGTATGTGATGTATTCCTTGAGTGCCGGCAGTAGGTCGTCTGCTTTTATTTGACTCAAACTCAACTCTGCAGGTCGGAGCGCACGGGGGCGCCTAGAGGTCTGCGGTTCACTGCTTAGGGAGGCACCAGCACCGGAGCCTTCGTACCTCTCAAGGGAGGCCAAATCCCTGAAGGCTGTGCAAGCTATGTAGGTTAGGGGGGTTATTAATTACTCCAGGCTAGGCCTAATACCTCCAGCTCTCTGAGGTGGTAGGAATGGATGTCCTGTGGATTTTATTTGCACACAATGGACATGATTTGTTTTCTCTTAAAAAAAAGAAGGCGTGGGCATGGCAGATATTTGAGGAGGTGGAAGGGAGAAGGCGGAAGGGAAGAGAGCTGTGGAAAAAAGTTTGAAAATGCCTTGAACTATTCACTGTCGAGATGGCTAATCAGTATTGAGGCCGGAGGGCAGGCGGGCCGCCTTTCACCGCCGCTTCCCTTTCATCTCTGGCTCGGCGGAGGCGCTCAATTAAAAGCCTATCAGTTTGTAAGTAAATCAACGCCTATCAGAGTTGTCACATCAAACAAAACGATTATTATTGCAGCCCGCCTCCCCTATTAATCTCCCTCGAAGATAATCCGCCTGACAGGTCAGCCCCGGCGAGCTGGAAACCCTGGCCCAGAGCGCCCAAAGAGTCCGGGACTGGTTTATGCCCCCAGGGGTCTCTGCACCCGAGTTTTGTAGAACCCAGCAATCCCCTGGCCCCTGAGGAGTGAGGGAAAGAGCGAACTGAAGCCGCTGGACCCAGACCCTCCCTACCAGACTACAATTAGGCCTGAGAGTCTTGGAGCCACTAAGGTTGTGGTCAAGCCCCAGACTAACAGCTTTTCATACCAGGAGGCTTGGGGAGGAACGGACGTGTGGCCTCCTTTAGTTCTGCGACCTTGCCATGGCCTGCACTCTTCTAGGTTTGCCTCTTTGATTCTGCTTATTTTAAAATTTCCACTCTCTCTTCCCCTTTTTGTTTCCATTAGTTTTTTTGTTGTTGTTTTTGTTTTGTTTTGACTCAACCTGAACTCTTATTTTCCTCTCTCCTTTCCTTTCTCCGATTTGTAAGGGACTATTTCTTATTGCCGTACCCTCCCAATGTATACACCTTTACATGGTAGTCATATTCTCTGGAGTAGGGCATTCTCAGGGTCCGGGTTATTTCTCCTGTGGCAGGAGTGTGTGTAACTCTCATGATTTCCTGCCTAAATGCCCCTGGTTTTCTTCCCCAAGCAGGGACTTTTAGAGGTTCTTCACCCTCTTAAGGATTTTGTGCATCTGGGGACAAGGAAATAATTCATTAAATACAAGATAGTTAAATGCTCGGACTGTTATAAACTCCTATTTTGGAATTAGTATTTTGCTTCGGAATTTCACAGTTCCAGCCTTCTTGAGCTAGCCAATAGCCTCTCAGGTCTTTTGTCTCAAACTAGAGACCCAAAGACTGGGTAGGGTTTGGCTTCTGGACTCCAGAAAACTGGTATCTTCCTGGTGTCTCTGGCTTCCCTCTCTGGTAGTCTTGGAATGGAACACCACCCACCCTTCTCTATTTTATGCTCTTGTCCAAACTCACAACCAAATGACCACTGCCAGAGATGGGCTAAGCCAGGACTGAGAGCTGATTGAAGTGTCTGAGGGGAAAGGGTTCTTTGGGGACCTCAGGCCTTCTAGTTTAAATGCCAGCTCTTCTCTAAGACATTGTCTGAGGTCTACATCCACAAGAACCCCAAAAGTACTCTGCCGTTGAACATTCAGACTGAGCCTCTCGAAGCATCAGTAATTCTTTTGGGATTGAAGGATGTGACTATCCAATAAAACCTTCTTCAGATTGCTTGGTGGGCTGGGCTATAGGACTTGGGGTCCCCACATAAAGCTTCCCAAAGTACCGTAATTTATCCTCACCCTCTAGTCTTATGAAAATTATTTATAAACCTAGCAATACTGTATATTCATATATATGCATATATATGATGCACTGTGGCTCAGTTACCTGCCCACTTGCTTTTCTTATGTATTTACTTATGTCACCTTCACTACATTACGGTTATTTAAAGAGCTATAGACAGGGCACTCCCCAACTTTGGCTGTAGGAAATATTCACTGAGTTGTTATTTAGACATAAGTTCTATCTTGGGCTCCGATGACATCCCAGCAAGGGATGTTAAAAAAAAATGTAAAACAAAACCCTGCTTTATCATTTCCCCAACTTAATTATATGTGCACACATTTAGAATTTAAGAATACTTTTATCCTATAGATCTCATTTTCCAGTCAAGATATGTTATGTGCCCCTGAAGCCAGAAGCAATTAGTGGTGTTGGTACTGAGCGCCAAGATGTTTGTGCAATTTTATCCTCACATGGATAAAACTTACATATGGCTATGTAATAGATTCAGTCTTGTCATTTTAGAATCGACAGGATTTCTCTGGCAGTCGTTGGTGCTACATTAAACCGAGTAAGTCCAACCGGTAGGCATCCAGCTGGAAATGGCTCCGGGCTGGCATGTGCAGGTGAGCCTCGGCTCAGTCACAGGCATGAGATGGCTCCCCATGCCAAGAGGCGCGGGTCCAGCCCCACAATTATAGGTGGCGCCCCCAGGTTTTGTGGTTTCTCGCTGCCTTGCTGGGCCTAGTAGCCCCCACATCTGCTCAAGCTTCAGAAACCTGCAGCGGTTCTACAGTGCAGAGTCCGCCCCCAGCGAAAACTGAAAGCAAATTTCCGCTCGCCAAGTCTGAACTTCGATTCCTGAAAGTTTTCTCCAGGGAATCAGAGGCGGTTTTGGGAGGACAAAGTTAGTGTGAACACTCGAGGGAGGGACGGGTGGCCTAGCTTGGCTGCTGGTGAAGCGCAGGCGCCCCCTTCTTCCTTATTTCTGTCACTCCCTGGTGTAACTGCGGGGGCATCCAGCGTGGGCTTCTACAGTTCGCACCAGGGATTACAGAAGTGTACAAAGCCTCACCCATAATCCTCCGCCTGAGAAAATTTGAGACAAGATCAACCTTTCTCTGGGGAGGGATGTTTAGAAGTCATTCTGAGCGGTCCCTTGCCCAGGTCTCTGCCCTAACTTCGAACCAGAATTTAAATAACCTGGGGCCACCTACGCAGCCAACTTGCATTGTCGGATGAGGGCGTAAGCAGGGCTACACCTGGATCTCCTAGGCCTCAAGCCATGAGAGGATGTGTGTGTGATTCCCACTCACACATGATTGCTCAGGTCCTTCTAGCCAGGCGATCCCCTAACTCGAGGTGCTTCTTTTTGAGATCCGTGGATTTGGGGTCCAGCAAAGGTGCAAACAGCGCGCTTGGACTTTGGCGGTGGCGACTGCCAGTCTCTCCCTGTCCCCGGGCCGGCCGTAGTGGGTGAGTGATGAGGGCAGAGAAGGGCGCCCATAAATCGCGAGTGTCAGGGCGAAAAACTCTCTTTATTGTCTGCATGATGGATGGGCCCGGGAACGAGACACCAAATACTTCGTATCGCCTTTAAATGGGAACACATTTTCTATGGCCATAATTCATGTTTTTTAAATAGAAAGTTTGAAATGTTGCCTATATTTCACCGGCACTGACATATTTATGAATCGTTCCTTGCATGCAAATATCATTATTTAAAGCGACCCGGAGAGCGCACGAGGGGGGCTGGGAGGAGACGCCCCCGGGGGGGGGCATGGGAGTGGTAAACCAGGAACCTATAAATGGAGGGGGTCAATCTCCCTAAAGGGCAGATGATGGGAAGCTGAGAACACCCTGGGGCTTCACTCCCTCTAGGCCTCCTGGGGAAGTCTGCTCGGATTGGATTGGGACTGAGAGCAAGCTTCTTAGTCTCCTGCGGGGTAACCAGAAGATAATTTGAGGCCAGGATCAAAGCTGAAGCCACATTTTCTAAGAAGGAAGTTAAAAAAAAAGAGTTTAATAAACACAAGTAATAATAATAACAACAACCCAACATGTTTCGTGTTCTTTGCCACTGTATTGATTTTATTGACTTTCATTCTGCAAACCTGGGACTGTGCGCTCCCGGGCGGGGCATATGTCAGTACCCAGTCACCGCGCGGAGCGGGTGGAGGACAATCCTTGGGTGTTACCGCACCCCCTTTCAGCTCAACATCTCCCAGGCATAACCCAGACTGCTCAAGACGCGGGGCACACAAATAACGCCCCTCCCCCCGAGCTGGAGGGCTTCAGTCCCACCCCTTCTATCTGCCCAGCTCCAGCACCACTCCCGGGCTCCGCGCATTCTCTCTTCCACCACTTTCGGATCAATAGTCTCTTCCTGTCTCCTTTTCTTCCCTCTGTCTCAGTTGGCAGAGTGCTTGCCTGGCATACATGAAACAGAAGGACTGAGCTCAGTCTCCAGCACTCCTCCCAGTCAGGCGTGCCCGGGAGGTGCCCACACCTGCGCCCTTCCTTGCCCACACTTTACCTGTGCGGCTCCCAGAGGTGCCAGCGGCCGCGCGGATAACCGAGAAAGGGTGGGGAGGGCGAGAAAGGGAGGGAGCAGCCAGTTGCGCCGGTCCAGGATTGTCTCTCCAGACCCGAAGCAGGGGCGCGGGTTTAAGTCGCTCTCGGAGCGTAATTGCACTGTACAGACCAGGCCCTAGGGTGGGCGAGCGTGAACCGGCCTGCTGAAGAAGGGGCGGGCCCATCCGCACTTCCGCTGGGGTAGGGCTGCGGGCGGACCCGAGTCCCCGCCCCCAGCCGCGTCGACCCGCCCCTTACCGCTGCCTGGGTCCTCAACTCCTACTTCGAGTTTTTAGGTCCCAGCCCAAGGCCTTGGCCTAAGTCCTGACAAAGGAGAGCAGTGGCTCCCCTTTTCCACCTGAGTTCACTTTCGCTTGGGTCCTTTGGTGGACTTGCCTGATCCAGAGGCCTTAAATCTTCGTCTGGGATCCAACCATATGTCCCTTGGAATAGGTGGATCTGAAAGGCTCTCTCTCACCTTTCACTTCTTTTTTCCACGTTCCTATTTTTACTCAACTGCATGCCATTTAGTAAATCCACATCTCATTTATAGGAAGTGAATCGTCATGTGTAATCATTTAGCCAAATTACCTACCGGTAAATAGGTGGAATATGCTGTGGATGGGGAAACAAGAAACAAAAAACGCTAACATTTTCTGATAGATGGCTTTGTGCCAGAGCTATCAAAGAATTTTTGTATGTGTTGAGCCCTCAGAGCAACTCTTTAAGCTAGGTGCCATGGACATCCTGTTTTATAGACACATTTGAGTACCAAGAGGAGAAATTGGCCTTACCTTCATCACACTGCATCCATCTCTTCCAGTCCTGGGGACTCCAACTGCCCTGGGCAAGTGTTCTGAGGTCTGGGATGTTTGTCCTTTAGCTGTACCCATTTGGATTTGAGGTCAGTGCTAAGCCAGAGGAATGGTACAGAGGAAATGAGAGGTGTGGGTGGGGTGGTCTCAGCTACCAGCCTCCAGGAAAAGCTGACCTTTGGCATTTGAGCATCCTAGTTTCTCCCCTGATATCCTAGGGAGGGCCAGAGAGCTCTTTCTGTGACAGGGTGGAATGGGGGGAGGGGACAGCAGACAAGGGGCATGCTTGGAACAGGCCTGAGCTCAGCCCCCAGCTCTCCCCATATAACATAGATATAGTGGTCTATTCCTGTAATCACAGTATCTGGAGGTGGAGGCAGCCTGTTCTTCACAGTGACTTCCAGGTCAGCCTGAATGAGACTGTATAAAGAACAACAAAACTAAGCAACAATAATGAAAAAAAAAAAAAACCAAAAAACCAAATAACAGCAACAACCCCAAAACAACAACAGCAACACTATGTCTGGAACTTTAGCACACCCTGGGGCTTATTTCTCTTTTGCTTAAAAATGTGTGTGTAAGGTTGATTTGGCTAGGTGGTAGTGGTGCACACCTTTAATCTCACCACCTGGGAGACAGTGGCAAGTAGATCTCTGTGAGTTGGAGGCCAGCATGGCCTACAGAGTGAGCTCCAGGCAGCCAAGGCTACATAGAGAAACTTTCTCTTCAAAAACAAAACAAAACAAAAACAAAACAAAAAAAAAATGTGTTGGCTAGGGCATAGGCAGAGGTTATCCAGATCACTGTGAGTTCAAGGCCAGCCTAGCCTACAGGGCTAGTTCCAGGATAGGCTCCAAAGCTACACAAAAAACCCTGTCTTGAAGAAACACATACACAAAAGGTGTGTGTGTTTCAGTTGTTCTTATCAGCACATCAGTCTGTATCTTTTGGCCAGTCTGTCTTCCCTAGTCTTTGCCTCGTGCCCCCACTCATCCCAGGCTCCCACTATCCCTGGCTTCCTTTTGATTGCTCAGATAGGCCAGGCTACTTCCCACCTCAAGGGTTTTGCTGCCACCCTTTGTCCTGTCCATCTGGCTTTCTTTTTCCTTAGATCTTCAAGTGCACACCACTCTTCATGCACACTTACATCTCCTGTAACCCTCAGCTCTAATAGGATGTCCCGCTAAGACTCTGTCTTCTTTCCACAATGGTAAACTCCAACAGGCAGAGCCTGGAACTGTTTCTCCCAAGGATGAATGAAGAGAAATAAAAATATAATCAACTATGCTGAATGAATGGATAATGATGTCTCAGGTTCACCGCACTTTGTGAGAGGCACCATTAAGTGTTCTCACATCATGAGATGTTCTTGGTTTAGAGAGAGAAATAACATAAATCTCATGAAAAATATGACTATGTTGAGTCCTTATATTGTAAATGCCAGTTAAGAGGATGCTGGAGGAGTTAGACAAGAGTAGTATCTTGGGCATTCAAAGTGGAAGCTGTGCGGCCTGACAGGGTGGAGGAAGAAATAAGCCTCTGCCCTTGACCTCCTCCTACTGTTCTGGCATATATACACATCAAGATTCTAAGACTCTGCTGGAGAAGCTGCCCACTCCCCACCCTGGTGGCCGCCTTCCTTTTGGCATCTTCACAGATTATGGCAATCTCTGTTCAGTCCTTTCTATCTTCAGACAGAGCTGCCACAATAGCTGGCTCATTATTCTCCCTGTCCTCACATGCTCTAATCCGTCTGTCACACCTGCCTAGTTAATTTTCCTGATTACATCATTCCCTTGCTCAGAAACCTTCAGGGGCTCTCCATTGTCCACGAATAACACTTAACTCTTCAGGAAATACAGTTTCAGACCACATATAAAAAGCTTTAAGCTACATACCAAAGTTACATATGTTCACGCCAGTCAGAAAAATACTCAAATATATAAAAAGAAAATAAATGATCCCCCCTCTAGTTCCCAATCAGTCTCCTGAGTTACCCAGTGTGACTTGGTTTTGAGTACACTTTTTCCCCACCTCATGTCCTGGGGATTATGCTCAAAGGCTGGTGCTCTCTTTCTAAGCACTTTACCCCTGTGCAATAGCCCCAGCCACCACTTAAAAAAAATGTTTGGGGTGTGTGTGTGTGTGTATTCACACAAGCATGCACATGCCATAGTATCTATCTGGAGGTCAGAGGACAACTTTCAGTAATAAATTCTTTTTTTTTTTTTTTTTTTTTTTTTTATATTGTGTGAATTCTGGTGGTTGAGCCCAGGTCTCCATGTAGCATGGCTTAACCCACGGATGGGGAGCGGCCACCCCCCCTGCTCCCCATAAATTTCTTTGAGACATGGTTTACCTATGTGACTCAGACTGACTTCCAGCTCATGATCCTTTGATTTGGCCTCCCCAGAGCTGCATTTGATGCCACAGCTGGCATCTTCTATCTTTTCTGTCATGCTCACCCATATCAATGGAGTTGTTATCTCATTGCTTACACAAAAAGATTTCTATAGGGGGTGTCTCTGCAATTTTCTCATTCTTTCATGATAATAAATAGGCTATAGATATACAGCTAACTTGTTTTTTTTTAACTTAAAAAAATTTACTTATTTTTATTACATATACAGTGTTCTGTCTGCATATATGCCTGCAAGCCAGGAGAGGGCACCAGATCTCATGATAGGTGGTTGTGAGCCACCATGTGGTTGCTGGGAATTGAACTTGGGGCCTCTGAAAGAGCAGGCAGTGCTCTTAACCTCTGAGCCATCTCTCCAGCCCCAGAAAATTTATATATGTATGTATGTGTGTGTGTATATGTATATATATATCTATATCTAAATCTTATTCAATATTCAGCTATTAATGGGTAAGTGGGATGCTACCATGTTTCTTTAATTAATAAAATTTTGTGCCTATATTTTTGCAACCAGTGATTTTATTTCAATAGGATAGAATAACAAATTACAATAGTTTACACAATAGCCGAATTGAATTTCTTTGTCCTATCTTGACATGCTTTGTGTTTTTCTCCCCTTCCCTCCTTCCCTCCCTTCTTCCCTTCCTATTTCTTTCAAGACAGGGTTTCTTTGTATAGTCTTGGCTGTCCCAGAACTCCCTCTGTAAACCAGGGTAGCCTCTAATTCAGAGATCTGCCTGCCTATACCTCCTGAGTGCTGGGATTAAAGATGTGTACTACCATTGCCCAGCCCTGTATTTTTTCTTCTGGCTCCTCTTCTTAAAAAAACATTCTTGTCCCCATGTTTAACCAACTTCTAATCCTGCAAGGACCAAATCTGATACTAGTTATGCTGTACCTTCTTCTTTCCTTCTCACCTTAACACTATAATGTGTCAGACACAGGAAGTGTCTGGGTAGACCAATCATAACTGTCTTCTTTCCCAACAGCCCTTACAGCCAGTGATGCTATAAGATGAGCTTGTGATAAATGGGGATCAGGGGAGGCCAAGTGGTACAGGAATGCTGGGAAATACTATTGAGTCATCATCAAAAAGATGTTGCAAGTGGTTTGGCTCTTCCCACACTTCCTGTTCTCTCTTCTCCCATAGACTTGAAGCAAACATCTAGAGCTGTATCCATTATCTTATGATCAAAGGAAAAAAAATCTAAGATTACTGCAAAGACAGCCTCAATCTTGTCATCACTGGGATGTGGAGTCATCGTCAGTGTTTCCGCCTTTCCAACATCTTTCTTGGAGGACAAGATCTCTATTTAGTTAGTAAAATTAAGGGGTTTCACATTTTCAGCCAAATATCTTGTTAACCTTCCCATTTAACAAGTCTTTCCAATGGTGTTGTGCCATGAGGGTACAAGCATGGTGATAAAAACAGGTGGTTTGGAACCTATGTTAGAGACTTTCCTTCATGGGTGGGGTGATGGTTTAGATGAGAAATTTCTCCCATAGTCCCCAGCATTTGAAAGCTTGGTCCCCAGTTGTCAGTGCTGTTTGGGGAGGCCAAAGGAGGTACATGGCCTTGCAGGAGGAAGTGTGTCACTGAAGGCAGGCTTTGGGAGTTTGGAGATTTAAGCCATATCCAGTTTGCTCTCTCTGCTTTGTGTTTTTGGTTCAAGATGTAAGCTCTCAGCTCCCTACTTCAGCCACTATGCCTGCTGCTCCCCCCACCACAACAGATTCACATCCCTCTGGAACCATAAGTCCCAAATCAACCATTCCTTCTATAAATTGCACTGGTCATGGTGTTTGTCACAGCAATAGAAAAATAACTAATACAGATGGATTTTGAAATAGCCTCAGAAGCAGGCAAACATTC